GCAAAAATGCCAGTTCTAACTGCCTGGAAACCTAACTTTTCCAACCTCATAATGGAAGGAGTTTGAAAAGCACCTTGCTTCAGGCTGCACTTTGAGTGGCACACACCATAGAGGTCTTGTCTTATGTGCAGAGCCATTTATACTTTATCTACATTTGCAGATGTCATTCAATTCAGGAACAGAATAACTTTTCTTTTGCAACTGGGGAGGAAACATTTAGTCGTTCATATAAATGACGAACAGATATATATTATTGAGTTATATGTAAAATTTTATTTTAAACTAGTTCTAGGTTTGTTCACTTTGCAAATTTTTTATTTTAAAAATGCTAAAATAAATGTCTGCTTTCAAAAGGCAAATATCATTATAGGACAGTTTATAACGACAAGGGCAATTAACAGATTATGTGGCTGAACAGCTGCATGGAAAGATGCATTACTATAAGCCCTCCTCCTGGCTAGGCTACACTATATCAGGGATAGGCAACCTTAAGCTTGATACTTTGACAGCATTATGATTGTAAGAACATTATGGGAGATGTTGTCCATAACATCTGGAGTGTGAGAAGTTGCCTACCCCTGCAATAGGTTGAGGACTTAGAGCAAGTTCTTTGATGTAGGATTTACAAGGTAAAAGAAGGCAGTGTCATGTAGTACCTTCCCTGTTTACTCCAGCTGATATATATATACACACATACACTCCCACTCAGGCATACAGATTATATATATTTTTGCCTAGGTTAGAATTTTTTTTTTTAAACTATATTATTCTGTAAGCTTTGAAATAGCTATTTAGTGACTGAGTGAATGCTCTGGATCTTGTATGATATATAGACCTGTAATCAAAATTATTCAACCCCCATTGAAAATCAGGCTTTCTTTTCAAAATGTAAAGACTTTCAGCTGTTTGTAATAAAGAAATCAAGTCTTAATGTACGTCAAAATATTCAGCTTGAATTTGGAAACCATGGTCTCTTGTTCCTGGTTCCTATTTGCTCTTTGGAAGAATGCTTTAAGTCTTAGTGTATGCCTATATATATATAGGCAGTGATCAGCACTCTCGGACTTATGAAGGTTAAAACTTACAGTTTATTAGTAATCCATTAAAAATCAGATCAACGTTTCAGTCCCATCAGGGACTTTCACATCAAGGACTTTCAAGGGCTGATCCTGATGAAAGTCCCTGATGGGACTGAAACGTTGATCTGATTTTTAATGGATTACTAATAAAGTTTTAACCTTCATAAGTCCGAGAGCGCTGATCACTGCCTGTAAATTTTTCCTGGATTTCAAGCACCCGGCAAACAGTTCACTAAGCGTGAGTGCAAGGACTGTCTACATTTTTTATATATATATATTTGGACGTACACTAAGACTTAAAGCATTCTTCCAAAGACAAAATAGGAACCAGGAACAAGCTCTTTCGACCCACCACATCATTCAACGATCAAACTTTTTTTACATATGTGTGTGTGTGTCTAGTAGAATTGTAGATTATGCTAGCTTTAGTGTACCTATAATCTTAATTGTATTAATGACAGGAGGCAAGTATTTGCTTAAGTCTCTCTTTACTAGAACTCCACAGCAGCACAGAAAAACAACCAATCAGAAAAAAGTTAGGTACTATAAAACTCCTCTCCCCATGCATCATTTCCTCTTTCAAGCTGCGACAAAACAGAACAAAATGCAGAAAACATAATGGGGAAGAAACGAAGTCCTAGATACAATGAATACAGCAATGTCCACCATCCAAGAAGAACTGCCACACCAGATAGTGTTAATGTACTGTAAACTGAAACGAGAGAAAAACAGAATCGAACAGGTTGTTTATCCAATGAAATGTACTCCGAATAAACATGTAGGTACCCAATGTAGCAACCAACATTACCTTAATCTGTAGATAACCCAACCCTACTTATGAAAAACAGACTTAAGAAACAGGTGACAGGTAGCAGAGACAACAAGCAGAGTTGCATACGTACCTGGTTAATCCAAACATTTAAACAAGGGAGGGATAAGAACGGGTGGGAAATACTCGCCTCCTGTCATTAATAAAATTAAGATTATAGGTACACTAAAGCTAGCATAATCTACAATTTTATAACATGACAGGAGGCTTCGTATTTGCTGTTTTAACGCTCAGTCAATAAATCCAACGCTGTTTGTTTCGCTGGTACCTATTCCGGGAGATATCCGAGTAATCCTAAATGGACTTTACAACTGTGGTAACTGATAGTAGTTGGGTCGCTGAAGATGCCAGCTGACAAAGCATCCCAAAAACCTACCATGCGTTGATAGATCCTTTGTACGCAGGGTTGCGACCTGTTTCCTAGCAGCCGGTCCATGAGCTGCCAAGTTGACCTATTAGTCATTTTCCTGTAGTTGTAAAATGTTGAAGGTAATTTGCGGACTTAGGGCCACAAGAAGAAACTGCCACCATGTCTCAACTCTTGATGTGTAAGGTGGCTCCTTCGATCGTGCCAGGGTCGTGCCAGGTTCACCCGGTGACCTTGGCCTTGCAGGTAGATCTCCCATCTCAAGGAATGCGCCTAAGTCCACCAATAATTCCATAATAGAACCGAGTCGGATCTTCCGTTCCCTCATGGTCTACCTGGTGAGATGTCTCATCCTAGGATAAATTAATTATGTAGGCAGAGTGTGGTCAAACTAACCGTATCCTAAGTGATTCCCAATGGACTGTGCAATCCTCGGTTGCGGTAGAGAAAGGACTCCAAAAGGGCACCCCATCAGGATTCCAAACTCAACTTGCATGGTGGAACGGTGAATTGTGGCAACTGACATTTAATGTGGATAAGTGCAAGATAATGCATCTTGGACGTAAAAACCCAAGGGCAGAGTACAGAATATTTGATAGAGTCCTAACCTCAACATATGAAGAAAGGGATTTAGGGGTGATTATTTCAGATGACTTAAAGGTAGGCAGACAATGTAATAGAGCAGCAGGAAATGCTAGCAGAATGCTTGGATGTATAGGGAGGGGTATTAGCAGTAGAAAGAGGGAAGTGCTCATGCCATTGTACAGAACACTGGTGAGACCTCACTTGGAGTATTGTACGAGGTATCTTCAGAAGGATATTGATACCTTAGAGAGGGTTCAGAGAAGGGCTACTAAACTGGTTCATGGATTGCGGGATAAAACTTACCAGGAAAGGTTAAAGGATCTTAACATGTATAGCTTGGAGGAAAGACGAGACAGGGGGGATATGATAGAAACATTTAAATATATAAAGGGAATCAATACAGTAAAGGAGGAGACTATATTTAAAAGAAGAAAAACTACCACAACAAGAGGACATAGTCTTAAATTAGAGGGACAAAGGTTTAAAAATAATATCAGGAAGTATTACTTTACTGAGAGGGTAGTGGATGCATGGAATAGCCTTCCAGCTGAAGTGGTAGAGGTTAACACAGTAAAGGAGTTTAAGCATGCGTGGGATAGGCATAAGGCTATCCTAACTATAAGATAAGGCTAGGGACTAATGAAAGTATTTAGAAAATTGGGCAGACTAGATGGGCCGAATGGTTCTTATCTGCCGTCACATTCTATGTTTCTATGTTTCTATGACTATCTTGGGAATAGTGAGTCCCAGAAATATTCAAAGGAACGGAAAGCGTAAACCGGAGTTGAGATTTCCATCCAGATATGTCATTGTCTAAGAGTGATAGATGTATGGATCCAATGGTGAATGGAACCTGTCTAACAACAAAGAGTTCTCACGTGCTGTAGTGAGAGAGTGAAATAATCCGATAACCCATAGTACGAACCTGTTCCATGCCCGACCTGTCAACTTTCGTGTAGGGGGTTCCTGGTCTACATGGCACCTACAAGAAAGGGTATATAATGGTGAGACCCCTAGGTCCCTTTACACCTGACTGTTCGGGCATGTGTCTCCCAGAGTAGGCCCTAGGTCAAGGGATCCAGGAATGTGAGTTTGATAACTGAAGTCAAAGTCCCCTTATAGAGGAATACCTCCATATGTGTTCAGAGGAGTAGAGGCAGTCCTGTCACCTTATATCAAGATTGGAATGACCAGGGAACTCAAGCCAACGGGGTTCCCGGTCTATCCATGCAATCCTATGCACACAGTGTACCTGCAACTGGGTAGTGGACCTTCCCTAGTCTTGTTACCCGAGCAAGGCAGTGCCTGTTTGCTCCCTGAAGGTCTCAGTATCTCATGCCATCTCGATATGAAAAAAAAAACAAAAAAACTGTTTGCGCAGTTAGTTGAATGCAACTGTCTGTTTTATGAAGCGCAGAATATATACCAAAAACCTGCCCACTTGTAATACCTGAGGCCCATCGTTAGCCGTACCGCCTCCAGGAGTGTGTGCAAATAAGCGGGAGTCTCCCCACATCATACCTCTGTGAGTATTTCTCGCGTGTGTTGCACAGTGGTCTGGATCCAGCAGATCCATTACAGGAGGTGAAATAGAGGAATTCAGTCTAAATATGTATATCCTGCCCGAACAGGCAGCCCTCTAAAACGAAATCGTTAGCACGGTAGTTAGATCTAATTAAACTGAGGCAGGGCCACCCCATTTAATAACAAATCAGTGTCCAGTCCTGTATATGAGAGGGGTTCGCTCTCTGTTTGTGAAAATAAAATATCATTCTCGGATCGAGGTGATGGAGGGCGGCACCCTCCTGTAATCCAAACTAGAGTCCTTTAGAGACTCAGGGTGACCAACTGTAGGGGTACACCATTTACTAATATCAGCATAAAGATCCGGAGGTGGGTCTCTCCTTGACCATGAGACCTCTCTGACTCGCTCACCTGAGATGGACTCAACTGGTAATAAACCAAACCGATGGCAGATGGAATAGTATACTGTGTCCATCCTTAATAACTGAAAGGGATGGTGCGCAAATGCAACCTTCGGAAACAATAATGGAAAACTACCAACTGACCGCCCAGATCCCGTGCGCGCGGGGTCCAGGAAGACCGTCGGTAGTCTGAGGAAAGCTGGAGACGTTCTCCGCAATCCATGAGAGCCCGGGAGGTCGGAGGAGGTCAAGTCAGGCCTCTCGATGACCCGAGCGATAGGACAAATGGAAGGCAAGACAATCAAGAAAACAAAAAAATTTAGAAAACGGAAAATATATAACTCGGAAAGAGGGTAAATAGCAGATTGGAATGGCAAGTCAAGGAAACCCAACTGAACGGGCAGGATCCAAACATGACGTAGAACTAACTACCAATACGTAAGATGGATACCGGGTAGGTAGTTAAATGGCTAGTTGCTGAAGGCAAGGCAACCATGCTCCCCTGTTGGCATCTGAGCACTGGTCCCTGCTTGTGTGAAATTCTCTTTGGAGATGTGCCACCCCCGGGTCGGTGTAAACCGTGGTGGTGTGCCCGGGGATCTTCATAAAAAACCTAGCCCCACTGGGCATGAGGTTTAGGGCCTTCACCCTTCCAATCATATTGAGGTGCCCATGTACTGGTGTCCTCTTGGATAGTAAGGCAGCAGTGCTTGCCTGGATACCCATCTATATCCTTGTCAATAGCAGTTACTGTACTTTTCTCAGTGATATCCGTCCAGGCCTGTGGCCAAAAGGGGGTTTTGGGCCCAGATAGCTCAAGCCGAACAAAGGGCACAGATAGAGCAGGCCAGTCAGAAGGGCACGGACATAGTAGGCCACTTAAAGGGGCACAGACCCAGCACGCCATTCAATGGGCCACGGACATAGTGTCACGGTTCACGCCGTGACATCCAGTCTGCCAGACGTGGTCGCTCCGAAAGCGCCAGATAGGGGATTTGAACTGCGGTTGTTCTACACCGTATCCTGCTATCTTCCCTCTGAGCCATTTCAGGACTTTGGATAACTCCTGTTTATTCTTGTATTGCCTGCAGCACTAGGGGGCTGGACATCACCAAAGGCTCAGATCTGTCAGTAACTCTCCAGCTGAATCTGATGCCTGATTAACAAGGTATAAAAGCCTGCCTCACCCTGGGAGGGGTGTCAGTTCATTGACTCTGGTTCCCTTGTTTGGTTCCTGTTACTCCGTACCTGCGTTCCAGTGATTCTTGTCTAATTCCGGCTTCTGACCTTGGCTTTCCTCCTGGACTACTCTGACCTATGGCTTCCCTGATTTTGGCTTCCCTTGACCACGCTTCTGCTTTCTTTTCCTGGAAAGCCCCCGTGCACAGACTCACAGGCCAGGTGGCGTCTTACCTGGTCACCCTGGTCTGTGTCTACTTTGCAAGGGCGAGCGTATATCTCTGCGAGCTGGACTTCCTATCAGGTAAGACTCCGTAACACATAGCAGGCCAATCAATGGGGCACAGACATAGCAGGCCAATCAATGGGGCACAGACATAGCAGGCCAAGTAATGGGGCACAGACATAGCAGGCCAATCAATGGGGCACAGACATAGCAGGCCAATCAATGGGGCACAGACATAGCAGGCCAATCAATGGGCACAGACATAGCAGGCCAATCCTGGGTTGCGCATAAAATGAGTAATGGGGACCCCTGAGTTTGGGCAGAGTCCCCTAAATATCTATAACTCCTCAGGGTATTTTGAGACCTAGGATTCCTAGACACCAACCTTTTTAGACAGCGTAATACGGTGTGAATAACCTGAACTGGACTGGCAGTCCTTAAATGCCCAGCAGGCAAAATAGTGGTATTCCAGCTGAATTGGACATAAGCCAAAGTAGTTCCAGTGATTATAGTGTCCATAAAATCAAGATATACTGACCGATATCTTCCTAAAACAGTGAATTGATATGCACATGTACATACAGATCTGTTTGAGAATTATCTTAATTATAGATCATCATACCACCTGAAGGGTATTGTACCAATGGTCTCTTTCAGGAGTAGGACTAAACCATAGCCAACACAATGAGACTCCCCATAGAACCTGATAAAATAGAATATCAGCGTAGACTGGTCTCCCATACCAGTTTGAGTAAGGGCCAGGTTTGCTGGCTTTAAATATCTGCCACTGACAGTGAAATCATGCCAGAGTAGTCTTATCTGGGACTCCATAGCTGGGCCAGACAAAATATATACTGTGAAGCACATCCATCCTAGAGCTAACTAGCAAATTAGCTCTGTACAGAGCCTGTGTACTGAGATTCGTATTTACATGAAACTCCCAGATTGAGATATACACTGCCAGTAAACTCCCTGGAATCTGTGATATATACTGCCATAAGGCACACATAATCAGTGATATATACTGCCATAAAGCACACAGAATCTGCGATATATACTGCCATATAGCACACAAAATCTATGATATATACTGCCATATAGCACACAGAATCTGCGATATATACTGCCATATAGCACACAGAATCTGCAATATATACTGCCATAAAGCACACAGAATCTGCAATATATACTGCAATATAGCACACAGAATCTGTGATATATACTGCCATATAGCACACAGAATCTGCGATATATACTGCCATAAAGCACACAGAATCTGTGATACATACTGCCATAAAGCACACAGAATCTGCGCTATATACTGCCATAAAGCACACAGAATCTGCGATATATACTGCCATAAAGCACACAAAATCTGCGATATATACTGCCATAAAGCGCACAGAATCTGTGATTATATACTGCCATAAAGCACACAGAATCTGTGATTATATACTGCCATAAAGCACACAGAATCTGCGATATATACTGCCATAAAGCACACAGAATCTGCGATATATACTGTCATAAAGCACACAGAATCTGCGATATATACTGCCATATAGCACACAAAATCTATGATATATACTGCCATAAAGCACACAGAATCTGCGATATATACTGCCATAAAGCACACAGAATCTGTGATATATACCCTGTCATTAAAACTCACAGTAATCTGTGATACACACTGCTATAACACTCACAGTAATCTGTGATACACACTGCTATAACACTCACAGTAATCTGTGAGATATAAATAGTCATTGAAGCTCAGGATCTGTGATATAGACCGTCCTAAAAACCTCACAGCAAGCTGTGACATATACACGGTCATGAGAACTCAGTAATCCGTTAGAGAACAGTCATAACCCACACAGCAAGTTGTGAGATATGCACTGTCACCACAGTAAACTGTGCTAAGACATATCTGTAGGTAAATATGAACAGAAATATGTAGGGATGAGCCGGAGAATCCCAGCAGGGCTACCATAGCCGAGATCCGACCACCGATGGAAGGAGGAGGGGCCGCGAGCAGGCGCCCCTTCTCTAGCCGGTCGGATGCACGTGGCTCTATGAAGAAATCGTCCGCGGCAAGGCGGCCACGTGTGTGAGCGGACCGGGTCGCCGTGTTTTCTTGTCCGACCGGGCGCCCGCAGGCTCACGCTAGAGCTTGTGGAGTCAGAGGAGGCAACCAAGCGGCTAGTCTCCTGCCCCCCCGAGCGGAGCGCCCATAGCCTGCGGGGGGGACTAATAGAATGGCGCTAGGGAGTGGGGTGGGAGGGGGGAACAAACCAACAGGAATCCCCAGGGACCCCCCAAAAAACCGCCACATGATGAAAACATCTCCAAAAACAGGGGAAGCAGGAGTGAAAAATGGGTAGTAATCCCGAGGTAAATAATAAATATAAAACAAAATAAATATGAGAAATCCAAAACGATATCAAATGATATAAATATAATAAATACAACATTGCTATATAATATATAACTAACAAGGAGATATATAAATAATCTGAAGCAAACTATAATAGATAGAACTGAATACCAAAAACATAAAATATAATAATGAATATAATATATAAATAATAAATATAAATCCTAAATAAGTCATACTAAATCCCAAAGCCACCCACTAGAAGCAGGAGGCAGTGGTACTCTGACCTGTACTGACTGCGGAGCAGAAAAGAAAGAGGAAATGATGCATGGGGAGGGGAGTTTTATAGTACCTAACTTTTTTCTGATTGGTTGTTTTTCTGTGCTGCTGTGGAGTTCTAGTAAAGAGAGACTTAAGCAAATACGAAGCCTCCTGTCATGTTATAAAATTCTCATCTGGCTTGCTTGTGTGCCTTGGACTCTGGTATATTTATATTTGTGCTATGCTAGAATGTGAATATATAAACATATGTGTCACATGTGAAGACATATGTATGTTGTTTTGCCGTGTGTGTGTGTGTGAATGCATATGTATTTGAGTATCAAGCATGTATGACTGAGGGCACAGTGTTTGCAGTTGTGTGTAGCAAATATAGCTCATAAATACCTTTTTTAGTCTCCTTCTACATTGTCACCACAGTTTACCAAATTAGGAGGGGGCTATTAGGACTTTTAGTAACATATAGGGGGAAAATATGAAACTTTTTTTAAATAACAAATAAATGTTAAAACAGTAAACCAGTAATGCAAACAGTTTGCAGCAAAAAAATAGGATCTGACATACATGTCAGAATAGTATGTACGTTCAGAATTCGAAGACAACCAAAGTATTACCCATTAAATATTTCTAATTGGAGTTCCTGGGTATAAAAGTTTCACTTTGAACAACAACTGCTTAGAAAACAGGACCTGAAAAGAAAGCTACAGTAGTGTGGAGTTTTGGCATCTTTCCACCCCATCTGTATTCAGTTTTCTTAATGTAACAACTTTTTTCTAACTTAACTGGTTTAAGTGCTTTTGTGGGAATTGTGAACAACTATTCAAGAGCACTAAATTCATAATCAGATCTGAATGTTGCCATCCCTGAGGCCAAAAACATTTCATTTAGAGTAAAACCAAACCCATAGCATCAGCACCATAGACTCAGCTGAGAGCAATATAACATTTGGCAGTTCTAGAATGTCCACCCTTTTTACAGTGGCATTTTATTACAGCTCTTCTCACTGAGCTTGTGGACCGTTGCTTACACTGTCTGAATCCAAAGCAAAACACATGGGGGGAGATTTATCAAAGTTTTGCAAAAGTGTAAAACGGGAGGATTCACCAATGGAATTTGCTTGTGGGTTTTACTGGTTTGCATGGTGATTGCTCCAGTACTTCAGACAATATTTTTAGAACTGGAAACTTTGCTAAAGCTCCCCCAGTGTGCTTTGGCATGGAGACAGATTTCAACAAGCTCATTACAAAGATAATGCCATTGTGAATGGGCACATGCCCTGGGGCAGGAGATATACATATATTGTGAACAGAGATATTATTTATGTAAGCATGCTTTAGCTCACTGTATATTTAGCTTGTGCATCACATTTATTTTTTTGGTAC